AGCAGGGAAATAACTTTTTTGTTAGAAAAATGGGTTTTGTGGGGATCATCTAGTCCATGGCTTCCCCCGTGCAAACCCATAAAAAAGGCTGATGGAGGGGTTTTGTATGTGCACAGACTACCGTAAAGGAACGAGGTCACAATCACAATGCTTACCCCCTTTCCCGTCCCGGATGACGGGAATTGACTTGTGGGTAAGGCTAATTTTTTGTCCAAATTTTAAAACTCCAAAAGGGTTTCTATCAGGTACCCTTTTACAGATAAGGCGAAAAGGGAATCCCCTGCCCCTTTTAATTCCAGGAGGTCATTATCAGTATACAGTTACCCCCTTCGGAAAAAAAATTTTCCCCCCCCTTCCCCTTCCAGAAAACCCTCCATCAGGCTATTAAAGGGCTTTTAAGGCACGGCAGCCCTACCTAGATGAAGGGGGGGGGGGCCCGAACTTGGGATCCAAAACCTACTTAACTTAAAGCTCTGTTTGAGAAACCTTTTAAGGGAAATTTCCCCAAATTTAAAAGTTAAAATTTTTCTAAATTTTTCCTTTTTTGGCCAGGCCCCTGTCACTTTTTTAGCCATGAATAGGGAGTGGTAATGTTTTCACTAAACTTGCTAAAGTTTTTTTCGTTAAAGAATATCCAGTTCCTCATGAAAAGGAAATCCTTTAAAAGTTTCCCAGGCAGGAAAGGAAATTTTCCAGAAATTTTTAAAATTTCCAGATATTTTAGCCCCTCCTTTCCTCTCTTACCAGTCATAAAGTTTTTCCCCTTTAAATTGGGCCCAAAATTTTAACAAATGCTTTTATAAAGCAAAAAAGAAATTTGCTCTGCACCCATTCTCCGGCTCCAAAAATTTTCCAAACCCTTTTTTTATTTCAGGTTATGCTTGTGATCTGGGGTTTTTGGGGGGTAAATATTCAAATCGGGGAAAAAGGAGCTGCAGCCAATCCCCAAAACTTTTTTACTAAGTTCCAGCCACATCAAGAGCTTACCTACCTTGGGAAAAAAAAGCCCTCGCCTGGGTAATTTGGTTTTAAAAATTTCCCATGTTTTTGTGGGCCCGACACCAGGTGGTCCCCCAGTTTTTTCAGTGATCACAACCCTTAGTCTATCCCCAAGCCATGAAGAATCACAACACAAAAGGGGTTTTGCGTTGACCCTCCGGGTGCACCCCACAACCTAAAAAAAAATATATTGCCGGCAAAGAAAATGTGTTTTGGGAGACTCTTTTCAAATCCCAAATTTAAAATTTTATTTAAATTTTGGGTGTAAATTTTTGGGGAACCCCCCTTTTAAGCTCTTTTTTTTTTCCCCTGATTAAGGGGGGGGTTTTTTTGTGAGGGGATTTCGGGGTACCGTCCCTTGTATCTGGACCTATGTTTGGGCCCATCTTTACGCTGTCTCACTCTGAGTTTTTGGGGTTTGGCTTTTGGTCACTAGGAAAGCGAGCTCTATCTAAGAGTTGGGTGGGGGAGAGGGTAGGCAGTCCCAATTTTTTCGGGGCCATGGCGGCACGGTTTCCCACGGAGGTGGCAGCCTAATCCTGAGCCTTCTCGGGGGGGGGGGTGTGGCATGCAAAGAGTACCAACCTTTATTCGGGGCTGGGCACACCCTCATTTACCCGCTACTCCCCCCAAACCCGCGAAAAAAAGGTTGGGTAAGAGTTTATGATGGGGCCCCATCGTTTAACCCAGTGAACCCGGGTTTTAGCCAAAAAGAAGGTGGGATTTTTGGGAATCGCAGAGGTTATGTGGGTACCGGGTCTCCTGTCCCGCCCTTGTCATTTTCCCCTTCTAGGGGCTTTGGGTTTAAGCACGGTCCCGCCTTTTCTTGTGGGTTCTATTTCTGCCCTTTCTTTTCCGTGGAGGCAAAATATTTATCACTGTAATAGTGTACATATTGGGGGTTTTTAAATTTGGTTTAAAGGGTAATAAAGTCTAAACTTTTTTTTAAATGTGTTTATTTGCTCCCATTACACCTGGGATAACAGGCCATTTGAAATCCCCAGGTTTTTTAAAATGCTCCTTTTGAAATTTTCATTCTTTCCCTACCCAACAAATGGAACTTATCACCATTGAACGTCATGGTTTTTTTCCCCCTGCCCACTGGAAAACCCTGTTTTTTTTCTTCCGTACTTTTTTAGTGTCCCTACCGTACTGGGCTCATGCTTATTTTATTTTCAAACTGCAAATGATACAAAAATGGCCGGGTTTTTTTTTGTCTATGTCTGCTATTAGGTGAGGGAAAACAAGGTGCCAAAACAGGGGGCCTTTGGGGGACTTTAGCTTTTTTACCTCCCCTGATGCTGGAACTTTTCTTGGGTTTACTACTACTTTTGTGTTCTGTGTGGGTTTGGGAAAACCGGGGGGGGGGGGAAAAACCCCTCTGCCTAAATTTTCCCTGAAAGCCCATGGCCTTCATTTTGTGTGCATCACTCCATGATCCCCATTTGGGCAAAGCCTTTGCAAAATCTGGTAAATCCAAAATCTGCATTTTGGTCACTTCCGTGCCCCCCGTAATTCTGTCCCAAAAGGTTCCCGCAGCTGTGAAAAGACATGATCGCCCTGCCTAAAACCAAAGCGGTTCGGTTAGTTGGTTGTGTTAAAAAAAAAAAAATTATCCCTGTTTTTGAGGCTGACGATCAATACCTGGAGAGGGTTTTGGGGGGGACCCAAACCTCACAATGGATCAGGGTTTGTCAACAGGCTGTTACTGCGGCCACACATAAACTTTACATACAAACCACAGCCCCGGCTGGTCAGGGACTGATTTAAGGTGCCTGTCCAGCTCCTTCCTGAAAACAGCCAGGGGTCTATTGGTAATAAGTCACTCTGTCTGACTTTTTTGGTTATCCTAGATTCTCTACACATATGCTGCTATGTATGATAATCTTATAACTGTATTTGTGTATACCCGAATAAACTTACTTACTTTATGTATGCTGGGAGGCAGTTGAACAGTCTTGGGCCCCCTGACACTTATTGTGTTGTCTCTTAGTGTATTCGTGGCACCCCTGCTTTTCATTGTGGGATGTTGCATCTCCTGCAGAGTCTTTTGCTGTCGTAGGGAGTGATTTTTGTGTGCAAATTTTGGACTAGTCCTTGCAGGATTTTCCAAGTGTATATTTTCATGTATCTTTCTCACCTGCATTCCAGGGAATACAAATGAAGGGATTTCAATTGTTCCCAGTAAATTTAAGTGCTTTATCTTACTTATGCATGCCATGAAAGTTCTCTGTACATTCTCCAGGTCTTCAATTTTGCCTGCCTTGACAGGAGATGTTAATGTACAGCAATATTCCAGCCTAAGAGGACAAGTGATTTAAAGATAAGATAAGATAAGATTTCGTTCGGATTTTTAACCCCGGAGGTTGGCCACCCAGGATAACCCAAGAAAGTCAGTGCGTCATCGAGGACTGTCTAACTTATTTCCATTGGGGTCCTTAATCTTTTCCCCCAGGATGCGACCCACACCAGTCGACTAACACTCAGGTACCTATTTGCTGCTAGGTGAACAGGACAACAGGTGTAAGGAAACGTGTCGAAATGTTTCCACCCGCCGGAATCGAACCCGGGCCCTCTGTGTGTGAAGCGGAGCTTTAGCCACCAGGCCATCAAAATCATCATGGGCTTGGCATCCTAGTTTTGAAGGTTTTTACTATCCATTTGCATAAATGAGAGAAATCAGAATGGTGACCCATTACCAGTAGTGTCCCACAGGGGTCAGTATTTGGGGTCCCTTTTGGTTACAATACATATAAATGACATAGATGAGGGAATAAGTAGTAAAATAAGTAAGTTTGCAAATGACACTAAAGTAAGTCATCAAGTAAATTCTGATGACACAAGACAGCTACAGCAAGATATGAATAAGCTGTAGTGGTAGGAGAAGTGGCAGATGCAGTATAATGTTGACAAATGTAATGTTCTAATCCTGGAAAAAGAAAATAACAAGGTATATATAAATTAAAAAATTTAGACTGCAGTAAAGCTGTATGTGAAAAACATTTGGTTCTGGTTAGCAATAATGAAACCCAAATTTACACAGTGCATAAGGTTCACAATAAAGCTAAAAAAATTTTTTGGTTTCATATCAAGAAATAAAATAATAGAAGTCCTCAGGTTATGCTTTTAATTTTATGCATCCTTTATAAGGCCTCTTTTAATTTTATGCTACTCAGTTTGGTCTTTGTAGAACAGAATGGACATATATGCACAGGAACACACACAGAGAAGGGTAAAGAAGTTGATCCAAGTATCAGAAAATTTTCCTAGACTTTACAGTACGTCTGACTTTTTTGGGTTATCCTAGGTAATTTACGCTATAAGATAAAAAATTCGTTTTTGGGCTTTTAACCCCGGGGGGTTAGCCACCAGGATAACCCAAGAGTCAGTGTATCATTGAGGACTGTCTAACTTATTTCCATTAAGGTCCTCAATCTTGTCCCCCAGATGCGACCCACACCAGTCGACTAACGCCCCGGTACCTATTTGCTGCTAGGTGAACAGGACAACAGGAGTAAGGAAATGCGTCAAAATGTTTTCCACCCGACGGGAATCGAACCCGGGCCCTCTGTGTGTGAAGCGAGAGCTTTAGCCACCAGGCCACTGGGTCCCAGCCCGGGGAAGGTTCCTTTATGCTGGTGAGGTTCCTGATCCAGGAATTGGATCTGTGCTCCATGTCCCTGAATAAGTAATAGTAGTAAAAATAATAATAATAGTTTATTAGGTCATGATACATAGTTGACAAGGTACTTGTTCGTACGTTGGATTGCGTGCAGCCAGCAGTAACAGCCTGGGTTTATCAGGGCCCCGATCCACCAGGTCACAGACCGGGGGCCCCGGGGGCGTTGACCCCCGGGAAATCTTTCCAGGGTTTTGGGGATACATGTCAAAACCCCTTGTATGCCTTCCATCTTTCCCCTCCTATAGGCGCTGTTTAATCACTACAGGTTTAGCGCTCCCTCATGAATAATAATAAATAACCGTATGATAATTGTACTTACACGTACAGGGGCCTAAATAGGCTTACGTTGGGGTTATACAGGGCCACCAAAGCTGATCCTTCATTCATCGTCTCTGTTGGGTTTATCAGGGCCACTGACAACATAAGCCGTATCGAGGTGATGCTTCATTGATCCCCGGGAAAAATCCGGAGTCAGGGGCAAGGGGTATTGCTCAAATTTGGGCAGGAAGAATCAAGGGAAGTTCCCTCCGGAAAGAGAAATGGGAACATTAAATTCCTATTAAATCAGGTGGAGCTGAGGCCTACACACCGGCAAAGCCAGGCGTTCTTAGTCCCTGAACAACACCATTGTACTTCACCAAGGCCAGGGCTGAGGTCCACTTACACATGTTCTTGTTTAGTAAGTAAGTTTATTCAGGTATACACAAATACAGTTACATAGAATTATCATACATAGCAGCATAAACCCGTATTGAAACACTACTTTCTTGGTCACGGGATTGGGGAACTACTACTATTACCCACTACTGTTACTAACTACTACTATTAATCTACCTCAACAAAAAAAAAACAGACTACAAATCATCCAGAACAAAATGGTGGGATACATCATGGGCCTTATTACTATGGGGGAGCGCTAAACCTGTAGGGATTATATCGTGCCGGGGGGGATGGAAGGCATTCAGGTTCAATTCAAGGAACTGGAGCACAGATCCAATTCCTTAGATCAAGAGCCCCTCACCAGCGTAAAGGAGCCTTCCCTTGAGGGGTCATTATGGACCTGGGTCCAAGAGATCATGTAGGCCAGGATGAATTACAACAACTGGATATGCTGAATGTTGAAGACAGAGTAAAACAACTGAAGTTTAATCATGTTTATAAAATTGTTCACATGCAGAGTCCAGAATATGTTGCTGGCAAGTTTGTCAAGTCAGGGAACCAAAACAGTCATAGTACCAGGGGAAGGGAACACAAGCTTCAAACACCTTTTATTGTACAGCAATAAAAGAGTGGAGCGGACTGCCTGCACATGTCAAAGACTGTCCTAGCATGAGTCAGGTGCTTAATGAATGAAGCTACAGAAAGGGAGTTAGTTAGTTTAATATGTTTATTATGCACCCCATACCCATCCTGTGGGCGGTAGTCAAAAGATTACAGAAAGGGAGGAGAGTGATTTCTTGTATAGTTGACGTACAAGTACCTATTACTGTAATATTCATGTATCTATTACTGTGAGCTGGTCCTCTCTTTAATGTTAATGTAAATAACTCAGTTTACCCTATTCCTAGTATATCTTCTTTTATTGTACCTACTTTTCACACAGTTGAGTTATTTAGCTGTTCTAACTTTTAAGGTTTAAATAATGTGATATTACAAGGAAATCAATTGGAAGTAAGTCACTTTGCCTGATTTTTTGCGTTATAATAGGTAATCCACACATATGCTGCTATGTATGATAATTTATGTAACTGTATTTATATGTACCTGTACCTGCATAAAGTTACTGTTACTACTGTCACTAACTACTACTACTAGCACTACTACTACTAGCACTAACTACTACTACTGTTACTACTACTACTAGCACTACTACTGTGGAAAATTTTTTAATTTTCCGAAACTATAGTGCCTAATAGGGTGTTTAATGTGTCTATATGGGTCAAAAATGTATTTGAAAATAAGAGTAGAACCAAGAGTTCCCTTTGCGCATGCGCGGATGTGCGGGAGGGAGAGGCGCGGATTGTTTTGAATGTGGTGAAGAAGCTGAGAAAGCATGGAACCACGAAATTGACATTCACGGCGGCCTAAGGATTAAATATAGGCCTCATTTCATACTAAGAATGTCGTAACTGTTCCGGGTGGAGAGTGAGGGAACGTGATTTACGGGACCACGGTAATAGATGTAAAATGGGTGATAAGAGTAGGACCGGGTGGCAGGTGCACGGCCAGGGGGGACGTGTCCAGGGACCATACCGTGTGTTTAACCCTCGCTCATCGGCCTCAGATCTCATGGAGTGCCCTCTAATTTTGTGTAATAGTTATGAGACGTTAAATCGTCTTGTGAATGGTAATGTAATCAGTGATAATAACATTGAGTTAAGAGAATGCGGGATGTGAAATAGAGCGCCTTGCTCCGAGTGAACGTGTGACTCTCGTACCGGGATAATGGAAAATTATAGAATCACGACTTCTAACCGGAAAAACCCGAGGGAAATACCTCGTCCTGCCGGAATGAAAACCGTGTCGGTGTACAGGACATCAAAACTGAGATGGTGAAGGGAAAAGAAATAAGGAGTATCAATCACCCACAGTTAAGTAACCCTTCTAGTTATAACAAACTTATGCTGGCCAGTAGTGTTATGTTATAATTAGATAGGTTATGAGTGATCCAGCTACCTCAAGTGATCACCAGAGAACATCGGGTGTAAGGTGGGATTATGTACAAATGTTTTCCTTTGATGGATGTATCCAGTGTATCCTACCCCCCTCCCCTTCATTCAGCTAAACTAATAAAAATCTATACAGTCCACAATTAATTAGTAGCACCGTACTTGTGGGTGCTACCCAATCCATACTGGTCTCGGATAGATATGGATAAGATTGTGAGGTCGAGGGGACCACTTGGTGCGACCAGGGGTGGTTAAGTTTTCTCACATGTCTACACGGGGTGACTACGGTAAACAATATGTTTTGTCTCCCAATGAGATTACTGGTATGTATATAATGTTGAGGTACATACAGGTAAGCACCCTAGAAAATTTTCCATAGGGATTAATGTATAAATGTTTTCCTTGATGGATGTATCCAGGTGTATCCTACCCCCCTCCCTTCATTCAGCAAACTAATATAATCTATCAGTCCACAATTAATTAGTAGCACCGTACTTGTGGGTCCCTACCCAATCCATACTGGTCTCGGATAGATATGGATAAGATTGTGAGGTCGAGGGGACCACTTGGTGCGACCAGGGTGGTTAAGTTTTCTCACATGTCTACACGGGTGACTAGGGTAAACAATATGATTGTCTCCCAATGAGATTATGGTATGTATATAATTTGAGGTACATACAGGTAAGCACCCTAAAAAATTTTCCATATCTGCCCGTTGGGTCCTTCGAGAACGGATGCAATCAGTGAAAAAATTAATTGAATTAATTACTTAATAATTAAGTGACTGATTGAAGGAAGTGGGTGTAGGGGTGCACAATTTTAATCGATCGTGTGATGGATGACAATAGCCCAATTAATTGCTAGCACATGTGTGGCTAGGAATTATACAAGAGTAAAGTGCAAGAATTACTCTTAAAGGCGCCTACTTAAGTTGTAAAATCAGTGATTAATATTCTCTAACCATGACTGGATCTAATGGAGTTTAATGTGGCGACAAGTCCGGAATTTTAGAGTAATGAAAGCATCATTACAGGCTATTAAAAGCCATGTGACGAAGGCATTTGATTTAGTGAATCAAAGAACCGTGAACCCTAATGAATTAAAGTTATATTTAGATGCTTTAGAGAGTAGATTTGATTGGTACAAATTGTGGTTTAAAGACTGTGAAAGAGATCTGCTAGAGAATTGTGCAGAGGGAAGGGAAAATGAATGTTTTAATTAATCAACTTTACGAATTGGAAGAAAAAATGTCTTGTAAAAGTAAGGCTTTGAATAAATTAAAGGGTGTAAGCCAGGCAGTTGATCAACCTATTAATGCAAAGGTGTGTTTTTGCCAAAAACCTCCATAGTACGGTCTGGAGAAATCAGACTAGGTCGGCAGGAATTAAATTGTTCAATTGCAGACCAGTCAGCCAAACATTTTCTAAGGATATAACACATAATGACTCTGAGTATCTGTCAAGCCTCAAAAGGGAAAAATAATCCCAGTGGTAATAATCTAGTTAAGAGTTAAATAGGCACATATCAAGTCAGGAATCAGTAATAGTGGTTCCTCACATCAAGGTAAAGGAATAAGTACCTCAGTAAGTGTAACCCAGTTAATAAGAGGTCAGGCAAGGAAAAGAGAGACTGCCTCTTCTGCCAGGGTACTCATTTCCCCTAAAAATTGTAATGCCTGTAATTCATGGGATATTAAAGGGGAAAAGAATGAAAGAACTTGACAGATTTATCAGATGTCTAGAAAATCATAATGTAAAGATTGTCATCCCAAAATTGAACAGTTGCTATCAATGCAACAAGGGAAAGCACCATACAGTTATGTGCAGGGTTGTATGTGATTCTTATAATAATGGTGACAATAATGAAAAATGTTAAAAACCCCAGAACATACAGTGACTGATGTAAAGGTTGCAGCTAAGGGCCCAATAATGATGGCCTAGCTGAGGTAGCCTTGACGGTTTGGGTGTAAAAATTCAGGATAAAGGGGATAAACCCAAAACCCATACGGCGTCACTCTCCCTCACACTGGTACGGGCCATGTAATATATGGCAAAACTACCGCCTAGAATAATGACTAGAGGAAGTAGTGAATACGGTCACGGTGTCTTACTCATGAAAGGTCAACCCAGTACAAGTATTCTTCTATCGAGAATGATGTTGAACCAGTCTAATTTGTGGGAGCTGGACAGCATAGGGATTAATGTAAATGAGGAAAGTCCAAATGATTCCTTTACTCAGGGAAAAATAAACCTGAAGGATGTTAAATGTGAATCTGGACCATACTTGGGTGCGACTTCCGTGGAAGCTTGACCGTCCAGAATTACCTACTAATTATAGGATGGCGTATGGACAGTTAAAGGACCCAGCTCTGCGAACTGAGCAAGACACCAAAATTGTTGACTGCTTATAATGATATAATTAATAAGCAGTTAAATAATAAATTGTTCTTACTTCAGGCGACGATAAAAGCACACCCTTTAAATGCACAGGCGGTCCACTGAGCGAAAATATTTGGGTAAATTAATTTATGTGGACAATTTCCGGGTGTGAGTCAACTGAAAAGGGAAAATAATGAGGAAAATGTGAAAGGGGTTAATGAAATAATGAAGAAATGTGGGTTTGGGGCTGACTTGGGATACTGAGAGACTTGTTATTGTTAAAGTCTCAAAATTCCAGTATGCCCAATAAATTAATCCAGGGAGCATAGGCTTATGCCCCTGAGAGAATGGAACACTAATTAGTCCATTTTGAGGATCAATAAATATAGATGGCCATGGAGTTGGTG